CAGATAAATATTTTACTAGGTTAGGAGTCTACACTGGTCCATGAATGATCGATCTGCCCCTTTGGAATAAGATCAGCAAGTTAAAAAACACTAGGCTGTTAAATTTTAAGAGTTAAACTTAATTTAACTTGGATAAAAATAAAAAAAAACCCTACTGTGTGCCAGGCATTAAGCTATGAGCTGGGAATATAAAGACAAAAATATTCAATGGTTCCTACAAAGATTAAAAACAACCTAAGATCTGCTCACAAGAATTACACAGTTTAGTAGATATACTATATACAAATGTCTTTAATGTAAGTAAGAAAAGGATGAAGTACAGAGGAGAGGCCAGCCGGAATGGTTTACAGATCCAAGAGAGGTCTCAGTACAACCAACATGTGAGAAATGCAGCTGGAGGTGGTTTCTGAATGGCTTTATCATCACAGAACACCTGCACCAGAACAGTGACCTCCAAGCCCTGGGGATGACAACGAACGATTCCACAGCTCACAAGCTGTCTGGGGAAGGAAAGATGCAGACGCAATCCATTGTTCTCCTGTAAGGTTCCCTGGTGGTTCCCTTGAGGAGAGATATGTATTCACATCAATTAATCTTTTGGGAAAGTCCAGACAATGTAGCCACAAACCCATAACTTCCCCGGGCCTAGCTCAGTTAACTGTAAACTACCATATCCACCTAAATGTAATAAGGTTGTAGCTAACTTAATTATCTGCCAGCAAACTCCCCTACCCTTCTTTGTTATTAAATATTTCTGTTATGCATGGCCCAAATTCCTATGTCAGTACATGTAAAGCAATAATGACTGCTGGCACTTAGATAGCATGTTGTCTTACAAAGTACTTTACACATATTATTTCATCTGAACCTCAAAACAAGCATGGAAGATAATCATTATCTTCATTTCACAAATGAAAAAATAAGGCTGAGAGAAAGGAAGTTAACATGCCCAGAGTCACAAACTAGTAAGTAGCCTAAGGCAGAATTTATACTCAGGTCTACCTGACTCTCAGTCTATCCACTACGTCACTTAATACTGACTTCACTGGTTTTCCTAATCATTGTGTTAACAAATAGCCTGAGAGATTCAATGAAAGAGGGCTCATTTTAGCTAGAAGGATCAGGAAAGAGGCAAGGAAGAGATAATAACTGAGATGGGCCTTAAGGGAGAGGGAAAGATATCAGTAGGTATGGCCTGAGTGGGAAAAAGCTATTTCATGCATAGGAGAAGACATGGATAAAGAGATAGAGCCAAGAGAGGGAAGAATGAATCTGGGATACAGTAGTATGGTATGTAGTATAGTGGAATACAGTAGTATAGTATGGATGGATCCATTCATCTAGAATCTATCATTTTTTAAAATGATGAAAAGATGAGTTGAAGCCAAACCATGGAGGGCCTTAAATGTTAGAATAAAGGATTTATTTTTCATCTAATAGACAATATAGATTTACTGATGGTCTTTAAGTGGGGGAGGGGGACTGATGTTATTAGTCCTATACATTAGGAATAGTATTCTTACTTCAATATAGAGATTGGGTTGGCCAGGGGAGAGACTGTAATCAAGGAGACTACTTAGCATGCTATTATGCTAGCCTTAGAGAGAGGTGATAGAGGATCCCTGAGATGAGCAATGTGATTTTGGATATATTGACTTTGATTATTTAATTAGGCATTGAGGTAGAGTTGTCCATAGAGCAGATGGAAATTGATCCCCAATCCATCAAAAAGCATTTATTAAACATTATCTATTAGACACTGCACTGAGGGTAAGAAGGTGGAAGTGAAACAGTTCCTGCCCTCCAGGAGCTTTTTTCTAATGAGACAGAGAGACAGAGACAGACAGAGACAGAGAAAGAGACACAGACAAAATGAATACAAGGTAGTTTGGGGTAAGAGGGCACTAGAAAGTTGGGGAATGGAAATTGGGAAAGGCTTCCTGTAAAATGTGGAACTTGAACTGAGTCTTTAAGAAAGATAAGAGTTCCAAAAGGCAGATGTAAGGAGTGAGTAAATTTTTAGCCATAGGGGACTGTACAAAAGCATGGATATGGAGATAGTGTATTATGAATATGAAATGTACGTGGGATTGAAGAGTATATGAAAGCAAACAATGCAGAAAGAAACTGGAAAGGTAGGAAAGAGTCCTGCTAGGAAGAGCTTTCAATGCCAAACAGGGGCTCAGGAGAGAGGTCGGGCTGAGAGATTTTGATTTGGGCGTTGTCCTCATAGGCTGATAATTGAAGGGGTGGTACCAAATGAAATTGACAAAGGAAAGTCTAAAGACAGTAGAGAGAACACACAGGATAGATCCTGGGACTGGGGGTGAATGGAAGGGAAAGAAGAATCAGTGAAGGATAGTGGTAAACATCAGTCAGTTAAGAAGACATTCTAGAGACAGTGATGTTAGAGGATCCAGAGGAGAAGAGCATAAGAAAGAAGACAGACAAGGGTGGCATAGGCTATAGAAAGAATCAAAATCAGAAACACTTCTGAAGATTTTTTAAAAGCTTTCTTACTAAGAACTATGTTCTCCAATTTTTCCTCAACCACTACCAATGCCCCACCAAGCCAATTACTACCAGTAAACAGTGATACTCTGCTAGTTTTTGTTGTTGTTGTTGTTGTTGTTTGTGAGGCAATTGCGGTTAAGTGACTTGCCCAGAGTCACACAGCTAGTGACTATTATGTGTCTGAGGCTGGATTTGAACTCAGGTCCCCCTGACTCCAGGGCCAGCGCTCTATCCACTGTGCCACCTAGCTACCCCTAGTTTTTTCTTAATCATAGAATTATAGAATAATCAAATTTTAGCAACCATAGCTTCATGGATTTAGAGCTTAAAGGGTCTTTGAGATGATCTGGTTTAATACCTGCATTTTACAGATGAGGACACTGAGGTTTAGGGAGAGGACATGACTTGCTCGAGATCACTTTACATTTTATATTTACTTATCTTTTATCTATCATCTATCTATATCTATCTATCATTTATCTGTCATCCATCAGCTATTGGTACCATCTATCGATCTTTGATTAGTTATCTGCCTATCTGTCTTATTCCCCCAAGTACAACATAAGCAGGAAGTGTTCTGTTTTTTGTTTGTATTCCTAGTAACTAGTAAGGTACATGGCATGTGGTGGAGGTTCAATAAATGCTTGTTGAATTGAATTGAAATGGAAATTCAAAGGAAAAGGACTAAGGAGGAAGCAAAGGGGAGGAAAAAGAGATTGTAGTACAGTGTAGAAGAAGTAAGCAACAGCAAACTTACAGTAAACCATAGAATTGAAATTAAAATCCAGTTCTTCTGACTTCAAATCCAGGATGTAACTAACTTCACTCTTCTTGGCTTTGCATAGCTTTCAAGCTTTAATACTTAGGCCTTTACAAGTGGGGAAATTGAGGCCAAGAGGAGTAAAGTGATTCTCCTAAGATCACTTAGTTGTCTAGTTATTATACTCAATGTCAAATATTTTAAAAATTGTGATAAATGGTTTTTTATTACTCATACTTATTAGCAACTAGATAAACTATATCATATATGCATATATATATATATATATATATATGAAAATTGTAAATGTACATGTAATATAAGTGTGTGTGTGTATTCTACATTTGACAATAATGATCTGTCTTTCATGAATGCCATGGAAACTTAATAGATTTCCACTGATATCAGCTGAGGAAAGAATCAATCCTGCTGAAAACTCACCTGGCTCCTGGTGTTATTCATTTGCCCTTGTGAATGATTTAATAGACTTTCCAGAGACTCCATTTTTCATGCTGTAAAAATCTGACACTGAAAGCGCGAAGGGAAAAGGCTGGGAGCCTACCCTCTTTGAAAGTACACAAAACCATCTTTATGCTTTTGAGTCTGGACATCTTAATTAACACCAATGGCAAAATCTTCAAAAGAAAGCCTGGAGTCATAGCAACTCACCTTAAAACTAAGTCCTGGGCAGACAAGCTATGCAGTGGCTTGCTGGTTGGCTGAGATAGTAACACAGGCCTTCAGTCCTCAACCTCTCTTGGATGCTTTAGTATTTATTTCTCATCCTTCTTTATTCATCAGAGCAGCCTTGTGGTAGTAGATCTCTCACAAGGCCCAGTTACTAAGGCCACTAGCTGGGCATCCTGGTTTTCTTTGCAAACTTTCCATTGATTCTCAACCCTGGTATCATTTGCTCCATCTCCATCAACAAAGAGACTAATTATGCCAATAGAAATTCTGCCTTCATGCCCCTCTTTCCAAAGAGTAGACTGTCATAGTGTATTAGCTGCCCCTATCCCAGGGAAGTGTGGAGATGAAAGACTCAGTGAGAGTTTCTATATTACTTAAGTTGGTGGACACTTTGGGGGCTTCTCCTTCAGATTTTGGCATACCATAGAAGGGAAAGCCAGGAGGCCTCATTCCTCCATGAACTCACTGTATGATGTGGGACATCATGTTACCTCTCTGGGCCTCAACAACTCAGCTCCCCTTCCCAGTGGCATGAAAATTCCTAAAAATCAGGGACTATATTTCCTCATCGCCCAGCAAAATGCCTTACCTTGTATGTAGTAGGTACTTAATAAGTGTTTGTCAAATTAACTTGACATTGGACCAAATAATAGATTTAGAGTTAGAAGAAAACTTAAAGACCATCTAATCAAATTCTTTCAATTTATAGATGAGAAACTGAGAACCAGAGAGTTTAAGTGACTTGCCTGAAGTCACCCAGGTAATAAATAGCCGAGCTAGGATTTGAACCCAAGTACTCCTGACTCCAAATCCAATGCTATCTCCAGAGTACCATTATGCTCCCTGCTTCTTCATATTTGAATCTTCCTTCAAAACCCAACCCAAGATTCCACTCATCTTGGAACCTTAAAATTCTCCACATCGATCTTGCATCTTGTAGTCTTATTTACGTTATTGGTGTTCCACATTGGATTCTAAACCCCTTGAAAGTGGAAAGGATGTCTTACTTTTTCATGTTTTTTTTCACATGGTGCAGGCAGGCATCATATAAGCTTAATACATGGATATCGAATGAATGAGCAAATGAATCTTCCTTCCTGTTCCCCATGACCAGAAGGCACTCCCTTCTCACTTCTACCTCTTGGAATCCTCAATTTCCTTCAAGACTCAAATTATGGATTGATGACTGAGTAGGCAGTGATAGAGAAGTCAGAAAAAGTCATGTCAAAGGTAAGATTCTTGAATCATTTTTAACATTCAGTGATCACTGCTTAGTGGCTTGTCATTGTGGGAATTATATTTGGACTTGGGCACCATTTTTAAGTACTTTGGGCTCTTCATGAAAGAGACAGACTGTATCAATCAACATCAAGATATATTTAATTAGCCTCCTCCTTCTGACTTCATTAAGATCTTTAAGGAATTGGTCAAGTGGACACAATTCTGTCCTTTGGGGCCACTTCCCAGGCTCTATGGCCGGTTGCCATTTTCAGAACATCTCTGGGCCATAGGAAACACTTTTTCTGAGGATAATGAATAAAAAAAAAGAAGAGAAATAATAAAAGGGGAGAGCAATGATTCCATCAGTAGCTAACAGTCCCCACCCCCAGAATTTCTTTACATTTTGTATGTACTTATCTTTTATCTGTCATCTATCTATAGCTATCTATCATTTATCAGTCATCTATCTGCTTATCTATCTTATTCCCCCAAGTAAAACATAAGCAGGAAGTGTTCTGTGTTTTATTTGTATTCTAGTAACTAGCACAGTACATGGCATGTGGTAGAAGTTTAACAAACACTTGTTGAATCGAATTGACATGGGAATTCAAAGGAAGAGGAGTAAGGAGGAAGCAGAGGAGAAGGAAAAAAGATTATAGTATAGTGTAGAAGAAATGATAAATAAAGTATATATCACTGTGTGACTTTAGACAAGTCATTTACCTTCTCTGGTCCTCAAATTATTATTATTAATAATAATAATAATAGTAACTAGCATTTATATAGCACTTTGAGACTGGCAAAGTGCTTTATATATGTTAGTTCATTTTATCCTCGCAATAGCTTTTGGAGATAGTTGTTATTATTATCCTAATTTCACACATAAAGAAACTGAGGCACAAAGAAATTAAGTAAAAATCTGAGACCGGGATTTGAACTTAAATCTTTCTTATTGTAAGTCCTGCACTCTAGCCATTATGCTAACTAATTCCCTAGTTTCTGCATTCATAAAATTAAAATGCTATATTAGATGGTTTGGTAAAAACCCTAAACTGCCCTAAAATTATACGAAATTCATAAAAGTATATTCACTTAGCACAAAACATTTTTCTAGGTATTGTAGGGGATAAAAAGTGATAGATGGAGTCCTTCGTCTCATTGACTTTCAAGTCTAGTTAGAGGGACAAGATTAGCAGACATAAAAATTACTCTCTAAACAAAGCAGTACATGCTAAACACCAAAGGAAAAATGCAGACAATTAAATTTCATGAACATTTATGAAGCTTGATGAGCCCAGACACTGGACTAGATGCTAGAATATGAAAATAAAAACAGAATCGTCCCTTCCATAAAGAAACTTGGATTTTTTTTTTTATATCAGGGAGGAAGCGCATACATGAATAAGCATAAAGTGTCATCAAAATGAAGTTATTTTATGTGGGAGAAGCATTAACAAGCAACAAGGTTCGAAATGGCCTGGTATAGAAAGTGACGCTTGAGCTGACCCTTTTAGGGAGCTAGAGATTCCAAGAGATGGAAGTTAGGAAGGAAAATCTTCTAATCTAACAGGACAGCCTTTGCAAAGGTATGAGGGAAAAGATGGAATGTTGTGATTGGGAAGCAGAAAGTAGGTCATTTTGGCTGGAATATGAAGTATTATCAGGGACATAATGTGAACTTATTCTAGACGGGCTGGTGCCAGATTGTGAAGCGTTTAAATGTCAAACAGGGTCATTTGTATTTTTTTTCAAGGCAATGGGATGTTATTTAAGTTTCTTGGATAGAGGAATAGCATAGTCACTCCTAGGTTTTAGAAATATCGTTTTGGAGGACGGATTGGAGACAGCAAAGGTGGGAGACAGGATAAGTCCTTAGGAGATGATGGTGAAGGTTCTTGTGAGAACTGATTGATACAGTGATTGGGGAAGTAGAAAGGAAGAAATGGATTCAAGGATGAATTGCACCTTGGCAGCTGATAGGAAATGGAGTGAAAGTGAAGAGTTAAGGATGACAGATGATCTGGGTGACTAGAAGAACGGTGGTTTCCTTGACAGAAATATGGAAGATACAGAGGGGTGGGGGGGGAGTGTTTAGGGGCAATGTGGTCACAGATAGTGTGATGCTCTGCATTTTCCCTTTATTGACGTGAATAATGTTACTATAGAATGAGCCTCCATTTCCATTTTAAGCAGATAGTGGCATCCAATTTCTCTCTGTCTTGCCTTGTTTTACCCTAGTTCTTAGGCTAGGACTAGCAAAAAAAATAAAATAAAATAAACAGAGGCCACCTTCCTTGCCTTAGATCCCAAGGCCAATGACAGATAAGTACATTAGAAAGTCTCCTTGCTGCCCCTGAAATACAACAAACCATCCCCAAGATCAGTGTTTGGCCAATTGTGAATCCAACATATCGGTTTTCTGAATTTTTTAAAGCTACTGAAGCTTAGGGAGGTTACATGACTTGCCCAGAGTCAATGTCAGAGGCCCATCTGGCACATTGTATGGCCTGTTTTCAACCTGAGCTTCTCACTCCAGCATAAAGTGAGTCATGACATAATGATGTGTCAGAGGTCTCAAGAAGCAAAGCATCCCATTGCCAGTGTCACCCTTTGCCCTTATGCCAACTTTCACTTTCTGCCAACTGGAACAAAGTGAATGGAAAGCATCTAGTCTAGACTTGGTTTTTGTGTCAGTCATAATCTTTATAAATGGTGCATCTACCCCCCACATGGTTGGCAGCCTTGAGGGTTGCCTGTGCTCAGTGGAGGAGAGAATCAGACCTCACAGCTGTGGCATCCATCAGAGATGAGCTGAGGATCAATGTGTGTAGGCAGTCACCAAGTAAAGTAAGTCCTGTCTTCAGTACACCCTAGAAAAGGGATGTGGTTTGCAGATCAGATTCCAAGGTAAAGGCTAATGGTATCTATGGGCCACAAACCTTTGGTAAGCCTTTTCAGCAATGCTTTAACCCCAGTGGACCTCAATCCCCCTTCTGAAAATGGGGAAGAAGTAACTGACCAATTTTCTCACTAAGGCACTTATTTAAAATATGCTTTTTAAAAAAAATTTTCTCTCTAACTTGTGTTATTGGTGAAGAAAACTCCAGAACCTCCTTCCACCAGTGCAACTCAGCAAATATTGTATAGCTTATCATCTGTGAGTGACGTAGGATAAACTAAGAAATAAAGTGATTTACCCAGACGGGCATGCTCATTGTTGTTATTTGTTCTTCATTCTTGAAGAGGACCAGGATGTCAGGAAGGTGATGTCATGACTTGCACGTGAATTAGGTTTAAGTGAGGGAGAGTTGGGCAAGGTCACCAGCCTCACTTTCTCCTCTTGAGTCATGTGGATCCAGTGGCCAGATCTATACCAGGATGACTGGAGATGGCACAGTCAGCATCTACGAGAAGGAAGGATTTCAACTCCGGTCTTCCTAGCGCCAGGGCCACTCTACCGGGATTTCTTTGTGCTTGTCGATAATCCTGTAATTATTGTTATTATTTTAGAAATACAGCCAAACACTTAAGAGCTGCATGACTAAGTCCAAAGACCTTCCCCAAGGCTTGGTTTTATCACATGTGAGTCATGTGATGTGTATAAGTCACAGAAGCTTCTCTGAGTCTCAATTTCCTCATCTATAAATTTTTTGGGGGGAGGGGAAGGAGGACTGCACAAATTGTAAAGTCTTTGTCACGCATGGCTTTTTCTTGAGAATCAGAATGACTTCTTGGAGAGTTCTGGGTTTGGAGTCAGGAGGCCTGAGTGCAAACACCACCACCTATGTGTACAGAAGTGAATCACTGCATTTCATTGCTGCTTCCATTTACTGCACTAGAAAATCGGGATGATAATTTTGCCTTTGCTACCTCACAGCTAAGCTGTGCAATGGATGGAGAGCAAGGCCTGGGGTCAGGAAGAACTGAGTTCAAATCTGGTTTTACATACTTACTAATTTAATACCCTGGGAAAGTCACTTCCACTCTATCTGTCTCAGTCTTCTCACCTGTAAAATAAGGATAATAATAGCACCTACCTTCCAGGGTTGTTGTAAGGGGCAAATGAGCCAATATTTGTAAAAACACTTTGCAAAACTAAAAATGCTGTATATAAATTCTAATTATTAATAGATCTGGCAATTCTAGGGTCCTTAGGGAATCATGAAACCTCAGCTTTAGAAAATGGCCACAGTGGCCACCTAGACCTATACCACAGGGCCTAGACCTGAGCATGAGTCCTTTGTGTAACATACCTGACACGCGGCCACTCAGCCTGGCCTTAAAGACCTTTGGTGAGGGGGAACTCTCTACCTGCTGCATGCCCCAAGGTAGCCAGCTCCACTTTGGGATACCTCTAATTTTTAGGAAGTTTTTTCTTTATGTCAAGCCTAAATGGAACTTTTTGAAACTTAAATCCAGTATGTCAAACATTTGCTAAATGACTTGCATGTGTAAGACATTGTTCTTTCATCTACTGCTTCTAATTGTAGCTCTTCGGGGTCAAGCAGAACAAACCTAATACTTACTTCACATGACAATTAAAAAAAAATGCTTGGAAAGACTATCTCTTCCCCCCCCCACCCCAGTCTTCTCTTCTCGATGCTAAACATTCTTATTTCTTTTGGCTGATGTTAACACAGCATGAACTCAAGAGGTTTCACCATACTGGCTGTCCTTTTCCAGAAACTCTGCTGCTCTCAATGTACCTACAGAAATATGATTCCTGAAGCTGAACACACTATTCTAGGTGTTAAATGATTGCAGGGGTATTACTTCCCTTGTCCTGGAAATCACATATCTCTTAATACAGCCTAAGATCACATTAACTTTCCTGGATATCACACAGACTGCTGATTCATATGTAGAATTTACAATCCACTAAAGCCCCCAAACCTTTTCCAGACATGTTACCTGTGCTTCTCCCCATCTCATTTTTGGGAAATTGATTTTTGAAACCCAGTATTTAAATTTCACCTGTTTGGATTCACCCTAATTTTCTAAGCCATTAA